ATGACATTATTATTGATTGTGGACAAGGTGGTGACATCTCGGTAGACTGTCATGCAACTGTGTTAACTATTGCTAATCTGACATTTGTACAGCATGGCACTGATGAAGGCATCCTGTGTGTTCGCCATGGAATGACAACACTGGACAATTGTCTATTTCAGTGTGATGCGCGAGGTGTTGTCGTGAGACGAGGGGCAGAATTGACAATGAAGAAATGTGAAGTTCAAGGTGCAAAGGTTAGTAAAGCTTGCATGTAATATTCTGAGTTTCATAGTAGTTGCAGTTTCTGAGATGTTTAGAAGTATTTTGCCTGAACAAAAATTGGTGCCTATTATTTTATTTCTGTTGTGGACCAAATTCAAAAACTTGAAGATTAATTTTTGCATCGGTCTGTGGACTGTTTCTGTGCCTGTATATGTCGGATATGGTTGGACCAGTCTCATTCAAACTTCACACATGCATCACATCTCAATCTGATTAAGATGGAAGCCTAGTCATAATTTTTGACAAAATTGGTCATAAATCGCATGACAATGTTCATTAGTTTATTATGTACAATCATGAAGCTGATGTCCCATGGTATAATGAAATAGCATTATTTTGTGTGTTACAGTTATGCTTTTTGAGAAACGTATCCCATTATTTCTTAAAAATTGCTATTTTTAGAACAATTCCTTAGAACATAATGTTAAAGAAAAATTGCATTTTTTGACACTTTTTTAAAACCCAGATTTTTTTAATAATTCAGAACAACAAAAAGTTCTCTATCATTAACAATATATGATTTTTTCAGCCTATGTCACCAGGTTAAATTTTGAGATATTGCATAATATCTCTGCCATAGGAACCTGTGGTAAAAGTGTTATAATAGTGTCAAAATGGCGACTTTCCACTAAAATACAACCATCAATTTCTCAAAAAAAAGGCTGGTAACCCCAACTTTTTTTCTGTCAATATTCTTATATTGCCTTGGAGTACAATTTATTGCAAAATGAATAAATTCTGGGTTTTTAAATTTATGAGTAGGCTTCTGCCTTAAAAATGAATGGAGACCATTTTTGTGCTAAAATGCATTGTCTCAAGCCGTTTACGAAGATAACATTGGTAATGTTTTATTTGATACAGAGTGCTGGTGTAACTGTGCATGATGGTAGTATTGCTGTATTGAATTCTAACAATATACATCACTGTGGTACACAAGTAACGGAAGACTGTGACAACTCAGAAGGAGGAATTCTCATAAAAGTAAGAACATCTGACGGGCTACCAGACTGATTTGATGCCCATCTAACTGCCTTCATACCCATCTATCGGGCTACCCGACTTGATTTGATGCCCATCTAACTGCCTTCATGCCCATCTATCGGGCTACCCGACTTGATTTGATGCCGACCTAACTGCCTTCATGCCCATCTGACGGGCTACCAGACTGATATGATGCCCATCTAACTGCCTTCATGCCCATCTATCGGGCTACCCGACTGATATTATGTCCACCTAACTGCCGCCATGCCCATCTATCGGGCTGCAAGACTTGATTTGATGCCAACCTAATTGCCTTCATGCCCATCTGACGGGGCTACCCGACTGATTTGATGCCCACCTTTCTGCCTTCATGCCCATCTATCGGGCTACCTGACTGATTTGATGCTCACCTTTCTGCCTTCATGCCCATCTATCGAGCTACCCGACTGATTGTATGCCCACCTAACTGCCACCATCCCCATCTGACGGGCTACCAGACTGATTTGATGCCCATCTAACTGCCTTCATGCCCATCTATCGGGCTACCCGACTGATATTATGTCCACCTAACTGCCGCCATGCCCATCTATCGGGCTACAAGACTTGATTTGATGCCAACCTAATTGCCTTCATGCCCATCTGACGGGCTACCTGACTGATTTGATGCCCACCTAACTGCCTTCATGCCCATCTATCGAGCCACCCGACTGATTGTATGCCCACCTAACTGCCACCATGCCCATCTATCGGGCTACCTGACTGATTTGATGCCCACCTTTCTGCCTTCATGCCCATCTATCGGGCTACCCGACTGATTTGATGCCCACATAACTGCCGCCATGCCCATCTATCGAGCTACCCAACTGATTTGATGCCCACCTAACTGCCTTCATGCCCATCTATCAGGCTACCCGAGTGATTTGATGCCCATCTAACTGCCTTCATGCCCATCTATCGGGCTACCCAACTTGATTTGATGTTGACCTAACTGCCTTCATGCCCATCTGACAGGGCTACCTGACTGATTTGATGCCCACCTAACTGCCTTCATGCCCATCTATCAGGCTACCCGACTGATTTGATGCTCACCTTTCTGCCTTCATGCCCATCTATCGAGCTACCCGACTGATTTGATGCCCACCTAATGCCGCCATGCCCATCTATCGGGCTACCTGACTGATTTGATGCTCACCTTTCTGCCTTCATGCCCATCTATCGGGCTACCCGACTGATTTGATGCCCACCTAACTGCCTTCATGCCCATCTATCAGGCTACCTGAGTGATTTGATGCCCACCTTTCTGCCTTCATGCCCATCTATTGGGCTACCCGACTGATTTGATGCCCACCTAACTGCCTTCATGCCCATCTATCGGGCTACCCGACTTGATTTGATGTCGACCTAACTGCCTTCATGCCCATCTGACGGGGCTACCTGACTGATTTGATGCCCACCTAACTGCCTTCATGCCCATCTATTGGGCTATCCGACTGATTTGATGCCCACCTAACTGCCGCCATGCCCATCTATCGAGCTACCCGACTTGTGTATACCAGACTGTTTTCATGCCTACCTTGCCGCCATGCGTGTACACTACACCAGACTGGACACGAGGCTGCCTTGTTGCCTACCTGGCTGCTGTAAGCTAGTTGCCTTTTACCTTTATCATTCACATAGGCACTTGCATTTTTGTCAATGCATGCACAATTGTTCAACAACAGCAAATTGCCGACTTTTCAGTTTGTTTCGTTGCAGGCCTGCCCATCAGAAGATAACAAACCAAAAGTGAAATTAACAGGGAACCAAATCCATCATAATTCTGGTTATGGAATCACTGTTATGCATACTATGGAGACAATTGATACTGATATGGATGGGAAAGATGTGGAAGTTTTAAAAGGAGTCAATATTGAGAATGTGGACAATAATATTTATGACAATTCAAGTGGTTGCATTGGTGCACTCAAAATTGAATGAAAAACAAAAGATTACTACAGTCATCTGAAAAATGTATATTAAAAATTATATCAAATTATATAAATTGTATCTATAAAGTGTATTCTTGCATTCAAAGCATGACGTTCGACGTTTGAGAAAATTATCATTGGACGACTGTGTAGAACTGATTGCAGTAGAACTCTTAGAGGCGCTATGAGAGTAAATCTTAGTCCGGATAATATTATTAGTTTTTTTTTTTTTCTGTCTTGTTAAAGTACATACGTGTATTGTTTTCAGTAAATACAGTATAGTCTTAGAACATACTAATTTCATTTACAAATTCATTACTGCAGTGTATTCATATTATTTTAGTCCTCCTATTTACCAATTTGTAGATGGAGAATTCCATTCTTTATAGTGGAAGATGTCACAGTAACTTGATAACCAGCGTTTCTCACCATATCCTCTGCAGCTTGTTGCTAGGTTGAATAAGATTTGTTCTTTAAAATTCTTTTTTAAATAGGACTAGAACAGCATGCATTATAAACTGATATTTTTGGTACATACCTGTACGCTTGCAAAAGCAACCGAATCCAATATGCTCATAAACAATAGTTACCATATTGCATCTTTAACTTTATCAAAATCTGCTACTAATAATATTTATTTTTCATTCGCCTTAGTGATTATGTATTGTATTGTGAATTTTAATAACTCGTCACTGTTGTGATAGGTGTTTTTTGTATAAAAAATGTTATATTAATATAGCAGGAAATTACAATAAAGAATATTTTAAATATATAAAACGAAAATGTTCTGTTCATTCATCAAAACTGAAAAAAGTTAAAGCTGACATCAAATTAAGTTGAAATTCTTAATTCTAAAAATTTCAAATGTTATAATTATTAGTTTCACGTGATGAAATGTCAGAGCATTCTCAGGCTGGGTATCTGTCATTTGTAGCATAAATCAGTCCAACTCTCTACTGTAAAATGCTTGAATTTTGTGTTTTGTTTATAGAGTTTATTTTCACTGATTTTTGATGAGTTGAATGTAACATTTGGAAATAAAGATGTATTTGCTGGATTTTATTTGTCTGCACTTTTTCCTCGTATGCTTCAATATTTCTTAAAATGAACCCTAATTTTATAGCCAACAGAAAAAATTCAGTCAATTTTCAGTTTTTACTCAGAAAATTTGGCTATTTTTCTCCCAGTGCATACTTCAAACGGGACTATTTTGTGATGAAAAGAGAACTAATGGAGAAAAGGTTAGGAAACTACTTGCGGTACATAGTTGCAATTTTGACTCTAGGTGGCGCTGTTTGCAAAAATGCTTATTCTGGATGCAAAACTGTTCTTGCAAGGAAGGTTTTCGTGCTGTAAACAACTTTGAAGCACAACCAGCAAAAGTTATAAATGCATTTAATCTTGAAGTTGTTGAATGTGCTCTACATTTATTGGTATCTTGAAAAGCCTATGGGTGATAAATTCGTAAATGTTTTGACACAAAACACATCAGTACGAAGATATTGATCATCTGATAAATCTAATCAAAAACATCATGCCCATCGTTACCATGTCAAGTGCCGAAAAACTGATGTTTGTTTTACTTTTGCGTTAAATTTATTTCTTCCTGCAATTCTTGGAGTAACAATCTGACATATTTCATCCTACTCTGCTTGAATGCGTGTCCGAAGTTACTATTTTTTTTTATATCCTTTGATGCAAAGAATTTTGACACAAAAGTTGGTGGTAAGTTTTTCTTCAGAAACTGCGTTTTAACTTTTCTGGGTTTTCTTTTGCTGACCGATTTTGTTGAACGCTTAAAAATCCGAATTTATGACCAGGGCATTGGGCAAAGTAAATGTTTGAGTAAACAATTCAGACATGTAACATTCTGCTCTGCTTTAGTGTGTGCCCAAATTAGTATTTTGCTTTGGGGTCAACTCTATGCATTTCCGTCACCAAATTCTGAACGACAAAATATTTCAATACTTCATCAAATGTTCAAGTCATAAATCATTCAACGTGGAGTTCAAGTCCATCAAGGGTTCAAGTCTAACAAACAAGTTCATAAATTAATTTTCTGAAGTTGGTCCAATTGTCAGGTCAAGCATAGAGTCGTTAAGACTACCGGCTTGCTCGTACGTGTCAACGCTTCTGCAATGTTTTGTCTGGG